GATGGAAATATTACTACTGTTTCTACTGCTTTCACTCTGAATATATTGATATATAGCATGCTTTATTTCTATACTGAGCATTAGAATAAAGAAGGGATTTGATATTCCAGGGAAAGAAGGGAACATTTCTAACCGTTTGGGAGATGGTGGAAACTAGAAGATTCCTGCCATTTCAGCATTGGCTGAAAACGTGGATGTTGATCACATGGCATAAAGGAGAGGAATTATTGATTCAGTGGTAGCATTTAATTATTTCATGATAAATGGATGGAGGCAAAGAACCTTCTAGCAGGCATATGCATGATTAATTTTTGAAAAATCGAACAATCAGTATTCTCTTAATTAGATTGCAGCCCCAATATCTACTTAGTTCTTAAGTAAGGGGAAAAATAAGCAGTATGGGGTAGAAGGGTGCGTGTTCTCATAAATCAGTGATGGACAGCCTTTTGCTGATGTGAGGTTGCACTTAACATTTTCCAGGGGTTATTTAGCTTTTTTTTAATGGACTATACTATGCCTCTGTTAAGGTTAAATATTCTTTCCTATTTCAAGATGGCAGGAAACTGTGTCACTGTGTTTCAGCCACTGTGAGGGGCACAAACAAGTTTTCTGGGCCAAAAGTTGCCTGCTCATAATAATGGGGGGGGGGTCATGTCCAACAACTTAATTTAGTTTGGGAGATGGATGCTGCAGAGAATATTATAGAAATGACATTTTCCCAGCAAAGTAGTTCACTGATGTTAAGGAAGGTTTCTCTGTCTCCTAAATAGCATGAATCAACTGCTAGCTTGTAAATATCTCCAAATAAAGATTTCTTGGAACTCATAGCTAAGGTATTTCTTTTCAGGGTTCTTTGGTCAGTGGTACTTGGCTGTGTCGTCTTATGCCTCATTATTTTGGGTTCCAGAAAATCATAACTTTGACCAGTGACTTGTAATGTTTAGCACAAGGCTACTCAGCCTCTGGTCTGAGGGTTGCATGTGGCCCATATCACTGAACTGTAACTTTAATGTTCTTAACCTGTGGTCCATGGACTGATTTCAGAAGGTTCACGAACTTGGATGAGGAAAAAAAATTCAACTTTATTTTCACTAATCTCTGAGAAGAGATTTTCACCAGACTCTCAAAGGGGCCCATGGCACTAAAAGGTTAAGCACATCTGATGTAACAGAAGGAGACAGTAAATACAAGTGGATTTATTAAATGTTTGTCTTGGCTCTATTTGCTTTTGGGAGAGTGACCCACTGAACCCCAGTCAAGGGTCAGGTGCAGCCTGCCACTTATAAATGATTGTATACCAGTCCTTTAGAGCAAACTGACTGAACTCCTGTTTTTAAGAAGCTTTAATATCACTCTCTTTAAGCCATAAATAACTAACTATATGTAAACAACTTCCTCTAGTAATTTTTAAGAATTTATTTATAAGTCCTGTTTAAGGGAGAATTGAAACTGATTTTTAATTTTTCAAACTTGGGCATTTTGAAAAGGATAGTATGTTGAGTTGTAGTCTTCTTCAACCTGGTGTTTTGAATATTTTGGGATTACAGTTCCCATAATTCTCATATATAATGACTGCAAATGTTGGAAGCTATAATTTCAACATGTCTGGAGGATTCTTAGCTGGGCAAGAATGTTGTATTAAGTTTCTTTTCTTTACAGCTGGCCCTTTTTTTCTCTACATTCCTCTCTTGGTCTTTACTCATGGAAAGAACAACACAAATATTCCTTGTGAGGAAGCATCCAGCATTCTCTGCTGTGTAGCCTTTAAGGGATTTGGTGTTCCTCTTGATGTTTAGCAGATATCACAAGGAGTTCTGAGAAAGCTGTTGCTACTTTTGAATCTTATTTGAAGGAAGATGGAATTTTAAGAGATGCGTGGACACTCAGTCTTTTACTTATGTGATGGAAGTTTCAGTTAGATATTTCCACATCTTGTGCTGCTGTAGGCTATATTTAGAGATACTAGCAGATGCTTTTCCCCATAACCATTCAGAAATTTCCTTTTAAAAATGAAAAAAAAATAGTTGGGAGTCTAGTAGATCTTTTGAAACTGATCTTACAGGTTGTGTGTAGTGTGACAAACATGACTGTTCAATATATGTGATAGAATTGTATTCACTACAAATCTCTTATTGCAAATTTGTGAGAGATGTTCCTTATAACCTAAAAACATGAACTGGAAAATTTCTTATTTTGTCTAGTCTCAGAATGGTGGAAATGCAGTAATAGATATATACATTTTTAGCCAATTACTATTGGACATTCTTTTTTAGAAGAATTAGAATGTTTGAAAAGTTTCACATGATCTTTCAGGAAGAAGTTCAAATTGGCAAAGTTATTATATTACAAGCTAATTTGAATTATCTTGCTTAGAGGTTTCAGAATGGTCTGTTTTCTGGGTAATTTTTTTTAAATGTTCAAATCATTTTGTTAATGAAATATTATAAACACAAAAACGTAATACGGCAGTGTTAATACAGTGAAAGCAGTTATAAAAATACTGGAGTGCTAAAATAAAAAGGGAAAGGAAACAAAAAAAGGAAAACAAGAAAAATCCTTATTCATGTAAAACTAGATCTTTTCAAAAACTGATAAAGAACACATCTCTTGAACCTGTTCTTTAATATCAAAGGTGTACATTTCTTTCCATCTACATAACAAAATTCTTTTTGTCGAACTCCAGACTCTATAAAGCCAGAGTTCTCCTTAAAATCTCAAATTTCTGGGTAGATTGATAAAGTTTCCTAAATGCCATCTTGTTTCTTTAAAGGGCAAATATTGAAACTGGATGCATTCCTGTGCCATTAGACTTCCCTGTTTGAAATAGTTTCATTGGACTTGTGGATTTGACAGGTATCTGTAGTGTCAGGGATGAGTCACACTTCCTCCATTACACACCTGCTCTTGCTGCGTTTCTGCTGTGATGTGGTATCTGATAAAGAATCATGCCTGTTTGGTTATGTAAACTCTGCACAAGTTTGGATGGCAACTAATGTACTGCTATATTAAGATTAAATTTGGCTGGCTATCCCTAATTATAGGCATGCTGTTCATTCCTGCACTAGAAATGTAGGAAGGGTTTTGAAAATTCTTGTTGCCGATTACAAGATAGCAGAATTGGATTCCTTGGTCTCTTCTTCTTCTTTTCAACACCATAGCCAATTCAGTGCCTCGGAAGCTTGGTTCTTGGGGTTTCTGCAACTAGCTACAGTGATACAGTGTTCACAAATTCTATGGAGAGTGTGGAGAGTGTGACAATCAGAAGTGTGCTTTTATGCTATAAACTGAAGTCATCTTGGTCTTCAGTCCTTCTGGCCTGTAGGTGTGCCATTAACTTTTATTTTTAAGGTCAGGAGTGCATGATACTCTTCTACACATTTGGTCTCCAAATAAACAGGATCAATAAGAGAAAGCAATTAGGCTGAGAATTCCAAAAGGAGGATCTGTCAGTCAGTGGGCTATAACAGCCAATAGCATTGGAGCTCCCAGGGGGTGGAAACAGAAGTAGGCAAAGACAAGATTTCTAGTACCTAGAATACTATAACATAAAACTTGCAGAATGGATGGGAGATTTTATGCATATATTGTGTTGGTATGTGTGTGTAAAAGAACATCTAGGCAGCTAGAGTCTGTATAAATGCTGGTTAAGATTTGAGAGGTATTTGGGACAATATCTGGGAATGTTACCCAATTTTAGTTCTGAGAAGGAAGGACAGATCTCTTCTTCACAACTCCAAGCCCCATCAAAGTAAGCAAAGATAGCATATTCTTAACAACCACAGAATGTGCCTCTAACAGTATTGGACCTTTAGAGTAGATGGAGATGCAAGATACAATTGATGGAAGAGGGTGCAAGAGGAAGAGACCCTTTCTGTTTGTAACACATGAGATTTCAGATCTGATGTGATACTCTACTCCTCCTATATAATTTTGACAATCAAAATTTCTTTCAAAGAGTTTTGGAAATTGTAATTTTATAAAAGCATGAATGCTGTGAAACGAGTTTTGGCCCATTCAGAGATGTAAGCTTGGGGAAATACTTGGAAGCCATGGATATTGAAAAATCTCAAGTATCTTAAATGTATAGCAAAAACGTAAGGAGAGTGACATTTGTGGGAAAGTTTTCCGTTAACTCTATGAGAGAGTTTTATATATTAAAAACAGATAATTTGGATAGCTGCCTCATTTTTATAATTGCTTGTATCATTGAGAAGTATGAGCATAGTTCTGTTGTCATCTGGTGCTACTCCATGCTTTCTTCCATTTAGACTTCTGGTTCTATGAGCTTTGTATAAAACTTTGGGGAGTAGAGATGGACAGTCTAAAATAACTGTTGTGAATGATGGTATAGTTAAGAAATACACTGTACAGTATGATCCCATTTAAGCTTTGCTTTTCATTCTTAAGTTTCATCTTACTCTTTCAGTTAAGATGGAGTTGTATTTCTGTAAAACATTTTCTGTGGGGCTTTCCATTTGTCAATTGAAAATTATTTATTTGCACTATTGTATTCTTTGTTAAACTCTTCTCCCAAAGTATTAGGATTATAGCTCCCAGAATTTTCAGTTATCATGACTTTTAATGTACGTGTTGAAGGTGATGCTACTACTTCAAGGTGTACTTGCAGTTATTTCAGTTTTCCTATTCCTTTTTGTTGCAATTCTTATTTTGCTGTTTTAATTATTTTGAATGGATGTGTTATTATGTTATAAAGTTAATATATAATTATTAAATATATAAAATGAGTTAATACAAAAACATATAAAATGAGTTAATATATAACTTAATTTCCTGCCCTCAAATTGTGTAAGGACTATAACTTCAGGACTTCCAGTCAATAGTGCTCTTCATCCATTTGGAGGGCACTAAATTAGGAACTATTAGATGCACAAACACTTCAGTGGGAAGCAGTGTGCAATATATTACAGTGCAGTCTTTTTCTATTGTATCTGTTGTTACTTCTTCTCTAATTATTTTCTGTTTTGCTTCCAACATTACAGGTTTATGAGTGATCAAAAGTTCTTTTTACACTAAGCCAGGAGGGAGTGGGGCAAAGATGCCAATACCACCACCCCCTCCACCTGGACCTCCTCCACCTCCAACTTTCAGTCAGGTAGTCCTTCTGCTCTTATATGCTATCTTTATATCTAGTATGGATTAACCACAAGGAATCCTTATTTCTACTGATTAGGTCAGCCTTTCCCAGCTTCTGCATCTTCCAAATGTGTAGACTTCTAGTCCCAGTCCCAGCCAGTAAAGCTTTGGCTGAGAATTCAGAGAATGGAAATCCATACATTTGGAGAGTGCTTCAGTTGTTGTAAGGTAATACTAGGAAGACAGTGCAAACCCTGAGAGCCAGGTCCAGTTCCTGTCACACATTACCATACTCAGGTAGCATAACTAGGAAAGACCTATTCCTGAAACCTATATATGTTAAGTAGATCATACCCAAACTATATAAAAGTTAGTCAGTGTAAGGCAGTGTCGTATATGTGGGAAGACCATAGATTTCATCATACAGCATTTATGGTGATGCTTCTGGATTTAATCCATCACTACTCTAGTTCAGTTGTTATAAATGAGTAGGGCTGGAGGGATCCTAAGAGGTGACATTATATATATTGGATGTTCATGGATTGACCACCAACAGTTCTTTGATTGCAGTGTTACAGATCTAATAAATAAATGGACCAAAGAATAAAATATTTATTGTAGATTGATGGATAAAGATAACAGAAAGAGTGGGAGTTGCAGATAGGGTGAAAGTGGTTGTTTGAAATCCTTTCCTAAACTACAAGACAAGTGAAAAACCTTTAGCTGCAGAAGTACAAGCTTTCAGGCTGTAGAATTGTGCTAACAGTGTACAATTCATTATACATAGGTTTTTCTTGGTGGCGTGAATGAAGGATTTGTGTGGTCTTCAGGCTGCCAAGGGATGAGAAATCTTTTTTTCATTTTTTGTGCAATATTTCCTTTCAGGCAAACACAGAGCCTCCAAAATTGAACAGAGATGAGCAGCGAGGGAGGGGCGCTCTGCTACAAGACATCTGTAAAGGGACCAAATTGAAAAAAGTGGCTCAAGTTAATGACCGCAGTGCACCTATCCTTGAAAGTAAGTAGCTGAATGAAGCAACTGTCAGAAGATTTTTGTCATCAAATTAAAGGAAAGGTGTTGCATTCCTCCAGTTGCCCCTTTCTCTTGGAAATAACCTGTAGTTCATTAGACATATAGGATGGGTTCATACATTTCTTTTGTGCATGGCCTTTGCATGTCCTGTGAACCTAAAGATCGTAATTTATTCAACAAATTACGATTAAGCAAAGCATCATTTCCCACAAAGTATAATTCAGGTCAGCAATGTAAACAGAGTTTGGGAAATTATGTTTAAAATAATTCAGGGTAGACACATGAGAGAGTAGTCCAGAAATTAAATAAATGTAACTAGGTGAGGGCTTGTTGCCAGTAAAATTATCCTTGGAATCAGTCTACAAGATGGATTCCGGGAAATAATTCTTTAAGCAATTTAGACACAATCTGTTGTCCTCCCACCTTACTTCTGACAATGAATGACTTTGTTTTGTTTTGGTTGGTTCTTATCAGATAGCATCCAAATGGATTATGCTGTTATTGTTTGCTTATCTTGATCGTTTTGCATTTAATTGGTCTAGTTTAGGAAGAATTAGGAAGGAGGGAGGAAAAGAGTCTGTGAGGGACATTGAACTGCTTAACCACTGGAATTTCTACTCAGTACAACTTCTAGTGCACAACAGGATATTTTTTGTGTACTAGAAGTTGTTTTAGGCTTTCTAAAGGGAAATTTTGATGCTGTGTGAACTACGTTCAACTTTGCAGTGAAAAATGTAAAGTGTTAGAAGTCTTTAGATTAATATTAAAATATAGATGAAGTCCAAGCACTTACACCTTAGTACTAAACATTAGAAACAAAAGTTTCTGAATCTTGGGGTGAAAATAAATCTGTAACATGGGATATGTTTATCCCTAACTAACCAGATGGAAATAGTCTGACAACCAGCTGAATCTGAGCAGTAAAGTTATTTACTTCCCTGCTCCTCACACTTACAGATAAATCAACACAGCTAGACATAAATCCAATATCAGTGCCTTTGTTTTATGTAAACCTAAGATGAAGTTACTGTCTTCCCTTTCCTTGCATTAAATAGAAGAATAAGACTATCTCTTTAAAACATTCTAGTGGAAAATGCACTAAACTTTGGACATTCAAATAGCAATCTCAGATACCATTAGTTACGGGTAGACCAAGCAATTGTGAATTTGCCTGCAATAGCTATAATAATAAACTGCTTGTGTTACACAGTCTGATAATCTGGAAGCCTTTTTAATTTCAGAATCCAAGGGTGGCAGCAGCTATAATTCTAGTGCATCTCCCCTTCCACCAAAGGTGGGCCTTTTCCAAGGTGGTATCCCCAAGCTACGACCCATGGGTGTAAAAGAAAGTTCAGGTGATTTGATTTAAAATACCTTTCTTTTAGATATATTAAAACATGATTTGAAATGTTAAATTTGAGGCCTTTTAATAGCATCTAACTAGAATGAGAATGGGAGCTATATATTCTCCACCTCTTTGGTCTTTGTACGTATTATTGGTATACTTCAAGGACGGCATGCTTTCATATGAACCTAAGTCCTTACATGTGGCAGAAACAGCACTAGAGAATGTTTTTTGCCCAATCTGGAGATGACCAGGATAAGGCTTTTCCAGTGGCGGACCCTAGTGTCTAGAGGGCCTTCTCAAAGTAGATGCACTTGATCCTGAGAGAATGTGTTTCTGGCTGACAAGAAGAAACAGATAATTAAGGAAACCAACACATTAGAAAGCTGAGAAGGCAGCTGGGAAGAAAATTACAGTAGTATGGATGAGAACTAAATATCTGAGGAAGTTGGATAGGTGAAGACTATAAAAAATAGAAGGGAGGATCTCTCAGTGCTTGAGGTCAAGAGGAATAGTATACTGTTAATATTGGAGAGAATTAGAATTGGAAGACTATAGTTTAAGACCTTTAGAAATTGGAGAGTCATGAATGGTTCAGCAGAATTTCAAAATGCATACTGTAAATGAATCAATCATCCAGACTTTCAGTCCACTGTAGCCAGAATAAACTGGGGATTCAGAAGTCATCATTTATTTCCCTTGCTATGCCCTACCTATATCCTTCATTTGAATCTGTATTCCTTTCACTTCCTATTGGAAATAATTAAGTGTAGGGATTTAAAATCTGCTAGTCATCTGCAGTTAGGAATACATACTATATGTAGCATTGGCTACAATCTCTGTTCAAACAGTTCTGTCAGTTTTATTAAATTGGATGGTAATTTTTACCAGTGAGCTTTACCCTTTTAAGATATATAGTGACTTTTGTCACATCAGAGTTGTTAGATATCCATATAGAGTTGACCCATTTAGCTGTTCTAAAGAGTAATTTTATGTGCCATTTTTAAAATTTTCCAGACAGCTCCTCTGGGAAGCTGCTACATCAGGGCCCCGGGTGTAGATCAGCTGCACCACGGCCTCCTGTGTGTGCTACCAGCATCCGGCCCCAAGATGACACCGAAAACAGTCGAGCTTCTCCTCCAGAGCTTCCACGCATACAGAGACCTTCATTGCCAGATCTTTCACGGCCAAACAGTGCCAGTGGCACTGGTATGAAACACAGCTCTTCAGCCCCGCCACCACCTCCTCCTGGACGGCGAGCTAATGCACCTCTTGCTCCACATTCTATGCATAATAGCAAAGCACCTTCATACAACCGTGAGAAGCCATTGCCACCAACTCCAGGACAAAGGCTTCCAGGAAATCGTGATGGACCACCAGCTCCTCCGCCCATCAAGCCACCCCCATCCCCAGTAAATATCCGGTCAGGACCAAGCAGTCAGAGCCAATCCTTGGCACCCCCTCCCCCACCTTACCGGCAGCCTCCCAGTGTCCCTAATGGCCCTGCCAGCCCTATCAATGAATCTGCTCCTGAGCTTCCACAGAGACACAATTCCTTACATAGAAAGACACCAGGACCTGGGAGGGGTATGGCACCTCCCCCTCCCCCTTCAGCATCTCCTTCCTTACAGAGCAGTCGGCCCCCGCCTCCTGCCCGTGACCCTCCAAGCCGAGGTGCAGGTAAGAGATTTTTACAGCCCCTGTTCAGCTAAAAATAGGTTGTGAAATTGATAAAAATCAACACTTAATGTCTGACAACAGAAGTGCTAGTGCTCAAAAATGCCTCAAAACTACAGTATGTCTTCTAATTTGGGATATATAGAGATAGATTTACCAAAGATTGTGAATGCCCTGGTTTCATGGGATGTAGCCACTGACAAAGAAGTTCCCTATAGCGTACTATGAATTCATAGTATGCAGAAAAAGAATGCTTATGTTGCCGAATAAGAATTACAACTAGAAAATATCTGCAAATGACTTTTGGACGTTTAAAAGTACTATATCAAAGTTTAAGGGCAGGTTTAGGAATGGGTGGGTTGTAGCTAATCTTAAAGTCTTTGATTTGGTATTTCTGAAAAAAATCCTATTTATAGTGCTAGAATTTAAAGACTTCAGTGTGGGCCATGAGTCAGGAAGCTCCTCGTCCAATGATAAAGTCATTATGAATACTTAGATAAGCCACAGTTCTCTCACCTTCAGGCTCTTCATCTTCAGTATTGGTCTAAATTTGGTCTCCCTCAGGGAGACAGAATTTTAGAGATTAATATTGAACACTTGATAGCGATTTCATAAACACTTAGTGTAATCATATGACTGACAGTAGCCTTTAGGAATTATTCAGATGCTTTAACTGTGAAGATACCAACGTTTGAATATAGGGCTTATCCATGAAGGATGATGCTTTCCTTGAAAAATTGGAATAGTTACATTTCAGGGAGGTAGGGGGGCAGTCTTTTCCACCAAGCCTCTTTGAACTAGGATTGGATTTTTCATGTTGCGAGAACAGTGCAGGCCTTGCAGGCCTCCCAAAATGGGGAGTCCAGTATGAGGCAGGTCATCAATCTGATGACTTTAAAACAGAAGCAACTGTTAACTTGGCAAAAGCTTAGACCTGTCAAGATCAATAAAATGTACTGAAATATTCCCAAATATTATGTGACTGGTTTAGAAACAATCTGACCCATTTAGGGTCAGGGATTGTATGTTACTTGTCATGATGCAAAACAGGGTTTACTTTAGCTAAAATGGTCATATGATCATCTAGTTTTGTTCCCTAATCATGCTTCATTTCTAAAATGAAATGAAAGATTTCAGAATTTGCAGTTGTAGATCTTTTAGAAATAAATGACATAGACATTTGGTGATTGAAATACAAGCATTTTTATAACTGCTTCATTGTATGCATTGTAGAGCTATATAATTCTCTGGATTTGATTCCAAAAAGGTGCTTTGGAATGTGTATGTAACTCCCTCTCTGTCTGCAGTTCTTTAAAGAAGCAACATCTTTTCCTGGGATTGTGCAGCAGGTGTAAGGGGTAATCATCTGATTCTAGGAAAAGACACAACTGCTTTAAAGGATAGTAGAATGGTGATATATTCATGCTCTGCAGTTCTGTTATTTATTTCTGAAGTGCTGCATAGCCCCTACTCACAGCACTCACCAAATACTCTGTAAACTTATTCTCTTAGGATTAAAGTCAAATGTATGAATTGCCCCAGTATTGTGAATACAAACTTTTATAGCACATGTAGTGCAAGGCAAGGCTCTTAAAGGCATGCAGGGTGAATGATGTAAGATATGAATGGGAAACCAATTGCCATTGCAGTTGCACACATCATATATTTTTGGCTATCTAAAAATCTGTTGATAGAGTTGGGCTGCATCTGCTAAATTTAGGTACAATAGTATGTGTATCACCAGAAACCATGATGTGGCTTGTTTGATTTCAGCTTGGCATAATGTGTAAATTCAGCTAGTGTTTATAAACCATGGGTTATGCCTTAGTGTTTGTACCTGGCCATTATGGCTTAATCAATAAATATAGCTAAAATAACCATGACTTAGCAATGTAGTCCATGTCTTTGCTGACCTGAAGAATTTCTGTTTAGCTCCCCCACCGCCACCTCCACCCATGATCCGAAATGGTGGAAGAGATGCACCTCCACCACCTCCACCCTACAGAATACATGGGTCTTCAGATCCCATGAACCGTGGGAAACCACCCCCTCCACCTACCAGAACCCCCGTTGGACCACCCCCTCCTCCCCCACCAATGAGAAATGGACATCGGGACTCCATCTCTACTGTTAGATCTTTCTTGGGTGAGTAAAAGGAAACTGCTCTTGCCTTAATGGGCTTCTTTGACATTTAAATTGAATAGGGAATTATTCAGGATTCTAGCCTGCCCAGAAGGGAATGGCTATTGCTAGTTTTCTTTGTTCAATTCTGGAGACTATAAAAATGTTGAGATTAGTCAGGAGGAATTTTTCTCTTTGAGGATGTAGTGGTAAAATCCAAACTCTGGTGTTCAATATTAGGAGCCATCTATAAAACTTAACATTCTTGCCTTAAATATTGGTATCAAATTATATACATTTGATGCTTGAAATTAATCTGTTTGTGCCAGTTGACTTACCAGATTTAATTACAGCAGAATAGAAAAGTGGATCACATTGCTGTATCTGCAAGAAAGAAAAAAAAGTTTGTAAAAATTGAGTGTTTGTATTCTAATACTCTGTAGGATTCATATAGAACTGGTTCATTTTAAATGTTTCAGTTTGCTTTCGATAGTCTGACCAAAAGCTGCTTGGGAAAGCAAAGAAACATGATGTATATTTTATGTAAGTCTTTAATTGCTGATTTGCATTTCCAAATGACAGTAGTTTCTTTACTTTAGGTGCCAGATGACTCTGGCTTCTTGTTGAATTGTGTCCCAAATCTAGTATCTTAGGAAGTCTAATTTTACCTCACAATATTGTTTAGCTGGCCATTTTCATCTTGCACAAGATTCTCACAAAGTTTTAATGATAAAAACAGCAGGACGGTTATGAAACTTTTTGATGGATTGGGTGTGACCTTCAGTCTTGTCTACCAAATTGTTCGTCACTCTGGTTTCTTTTTTCCTTTTTTCCTTTTTTTTTATCTTCTGCAGATGACTTTGAATCCAAATACTCTTTTCATCCAGTTGAAGATTTTCCAGCTCCAGAAGAATTCAAGTACTTCCAGAGAATTTATCCCAGCAAAACTAACAGAGGTAAGTACCAATTTGTGGAATAGTATTTTTCAGCTCACAATTTGCAAACTGGCAGGCTTGTCAGGTGATTTAAAGACAATCCATAGGGCCAAAAATTCTGCTCACCAAGAGTATGAGTAAGATCATATTTATTGTTAATTTACTTCTCGTTTAACATCCACTTGTTCAGCAGCCATTCAAAGTTATAACGGCACTGAACAAGGGATACTTACAGTGGGTCCTTGTAGTTGCAGCCATCGCAGCATTCCACAGTGTTGTGATTGCCATTTGCAATCTTCACCACTGGCTTCCAACAAGCAAAGTCAATGGGGAACCTGGCAGGAGATCACAACTGGTGATCCTGTGACCATGGGACACTGTAACCATGCGGGATTCACCTAACAATGGCAACTGGGTACTGCCAGAACTGCCATCGTAAATGGGCATGGTCACATGACATCATGCCTTACGACTGCTTCACTTAGGAATGGTGTTCCTGGTCCCAATTACTGTTGGTAAGTGAGGACTTCCCGTATTTCTTGGCTTTTCCAAATTATGCAAATTGTGCAGTTTTATTTAAGTTATGCCCATGGTTCCCAAACTGTACAGTGGCGCCACAGTGAACTCGTAGGAACTCAATGGGATTTTTAATGTTTTTTTAAACTTTATTAAATTTCAACAAAGAGTAAAATATAGAAAAAGAGAAAAGAGAAAAAAAGAAAAGATCAGAGAAAAAGTACAAAAGAAAAAAGTGAGAAGCAAAAAAAGAGATAAATTCTGACTTTCTTTGGTACAGGCATAGATATAAAATACATTCACCTCTTAATCTAATGTTTAAAATAATACAAAATAAATTGTATTAATAAAGAGTATAAAAAAAACTAATACAAAGTATTTCTATAGTTATAAAATATATCAGTCATCAAACCCCAAAATTAAATTTTCATTTCTTTCAGTCTCAAGCAAAAAGTCCAGGAGTGGTTTCCAAATAGAAACAAAGCCAGTCAATGTTTTTTCTTTAAGCGAAGTAGCCAATTTTGCCATCTCCGCCAATTTCATTAATTTCACTATCCATTCTTCAGCTGTAGGTATTTGTAAATCTTTCCATTTCTGTGCTTATAAAAGTTTCACTGCTGTTATCATATAAAGAAATAAATTCCCATGTTTTCTTTCCATTTGTTTGTCCATTGTACCTAAAAGGAAAACCACTGGTTTCAATTCTACGTCCATTTTTAAAATGTTTTGAATCAAAGTACATATCATATCCCAATACTTCGTAGCCTGGGATTTTTAAATTTTTTGAGAGAAACACAACTGTTAATTATTTCTTTTAACCTAGGGATGCCGTGAAAGAATCACTGAGAAATTAAGGGTGCCATGAACCAAGAAAGTTTGGGAACCCCTGAGCTATGCATTTGGATTTTGACTTTTCACAAGGAAAGAGGAAAGACATTAAAAACCTAGAAGGATACAGAAGTAGATGAAAAATTTGTAGAGGAGGGTATGTCATATGTTACTAAGGCAGGGATTTAGGGTTTTTTTTAAAGTGACAACAAATACTTTGGGAATATTAATAGGGCTTTCATTTGTTTGGAAATATGTATAGTGACTTTCTTAGGATGATAATATCCATGTCAAAACGTTATGTTCTCTTTTGCTTTTGGGTCATGGTCCCTGTAGAAGGAAGCACCTGGTTGTATAACACTAACACCCATATATTAATAGTTTCTCTTATCTTTTCAGCTACTCGTGGGGCCCCTCCTCTGCCTCCCATCCCTAGGTGAAAAACAGCAATTGAGCATTTTTGCTTAGTACCAAAACAAATGGACTTGTTCTCAAATTCTCTCCCTATCCCCAAAAAACATTCCTCAGAAATCTGCATGAAAAATACATTCCTGCTGGGTTGTTGTTTTTTTTCCCCTATTGCAAGAACCTGGATGAATCTACCATTACTCAACTCCATCTATGCATTTCACTCCCTGACTTAAAAAGGCATCTGTTTGGCACAGCCGGGTGAGAACTCTCCTGCAGACCAATGCTAATTTCCTACCTTTCCTCCTATCTTTGCCATGGAGAGGGGGAACCCTCAGTGCATAACTGCTACAGTTCAAGAACAAGGGAAGAGTGAATATTTCCCAGAAAAGAAAACCAAACAGAACAATTTTGGAACTGTGGGCCAGATTAAAGCAATTGTTTATAGATGCTTGCTTATCGTAAGGAAGGAAATGGCCACAAATTGTGTGGAATAGGGAACGCACATTCTTTTTTAAAGGGGAGTGTCATTAAAAGAATTGAAATTGCTGTTTCACTTTTGAATGCAGGCACTACATATTCGTTTGTTAAACTGTAACTTAAAGTGGGAAGGGACAGATGAACTAAATGGCATGTCTTAAAGTCAGTTTTAAAAATGGGGAAAGCTGCATAAATATAGCAGTATCTGTAGAGGCACACACATACAAAAAAAGTGAGTACAGCAGTTACTGTGCTATGTTTTGGCAGTGTTCTTGGTCCTGCAGATCTGGAACTGTAATCTCTCTGAATGCCGGTGGCTCCAAAAGATAGCTGGCATCCTAAATGAAGCTGATCCAAGTGGGATTGTGTTTCTACAGAGTAAAAGATAACATTGTAGATATGAACAGACTATGAAATCTAGCAGCCATCACTAATACTTGTGTTGTGTTAAAAAAAAGGCATGGCTGGTATTGAGGCAGTAGCAGCCACTGAAAGTAAAAAGAGGAGTGATGTGCTGGCAAACACTCGGGGTAAAGAACTAATTTAGCAAGCTAGTGGATAAACGTAGCAATACAACGCTGGCCATAAATAATATACTGAGGATACTGCATCAGTGTAGGACAAAATATACATTATGTTCCAACTTGTTAGAAGAATTCCTGATGCTGAATGTCCTGTCTTCAGAAGATCCATCTTACTGCTCTCATTAACAGAAATGCACAGCTTCATCTTCTTATCCTATGAATATCTTTCAGACATAACCTGTCGTGAGAATTTAGCCATCTAATGCTGAGGGATGACTAAAGAATGAAAAGTATTCTATTTGTTTGCTGAGAGGTGGGTGGGCCCTGACTACTGCCTACCCCAAGAAGAGTATGAGTGACTGGCAGGAGAACATTGGCACACGTTCTGGTCTAGTAACGGGGAATGCGCCATTGATGGCAGACTCCCAGTTAAGAGTTTTTAAATGATACATCATTGTGTTCTAGCTCAAAGCTGACCTTTAGTGGTTAGTAACCCCCTCCAACAAAGTAACTTTGAAAGTGAGAGAAACTGGTGAAATTCCCTCATGTTTTATTTCTGCTGGTTGTACACAACTGACAATGTTTTCTGTAGTTCTTGCACAGACATTTTTATGAGGGGGAGGGATGTCAGTTTTGTTTGTGATTGTTGGGATGCTTGTTAGGTCCTTTGCAATAGTGCCACTAATCCCATCTGGGTCTCTTGGTGGTGTCGTGGGAAATTTGATAGTGCAGGCTTTGTCTTTGAGATCAAAGGAGGCATTTACATTTGGTGTTTTCCCAGGACCAAAAAAAGGCCAGATATGGATTGCACATATGCTTCTCAACGCAGTAGTTTACACTGCTGAAAAGAGTCCCCTATGGGGATGCATGTCTCTCTCTCTCTCTCTCTCTCTCTCTCTCTCTCTCTCTCTCT